GATGATGATGATGATGATGATGATGATGATGATGATGATGATGATGATGATGATGATGATGAGGATGATGATGATGATGATGAATGATGAGAATCATCCCTCTCATCCTCACCCTTGTCCTTATCTTCATTCTCGTTCTTCTCATCTCCATCATCCTCATGATGATGGTAGTGACTGATGATGAAGGGGATAATTATGAAAATGATGATGGTAATGATGACGATGATGATGATGATAATAATGAGGATGATGGTAATGATGATTATGATTATGGTGATTAAGATAAGAATGATGATGAGGAGGATGAGGATGATGCGGCTGATGAGGAGAATGAAGATGATGAGGTAGATGATGATTGATGATGGATGATGATGAGGAAGAAAATGATGCTGATAAGGATGGTGAGGATAATGATAATAAGAAGGATTAGGATGATGATGATTATGATTGATGATAATGATGAGGATGATTGATGAGAATGATGATGATTATCATTCTCATGATGAGGATGATGATTGATAATGATAATTAATAAGGATGATGATGATGTGGTCGATGATGATTTTTAAAATGTGGACCCATTGGAAAAATGGTGTGTTGATGGATGATGATGATTGTAATGAGGATGATGATGAGGATGATAATGAAAATGATGATGATAATGAGGACTATGATGATGAATGAGTGATGATGATAAGTATAATAAGAATGAGGTTGATGATGATGAGAATAAGGATGATGATGGATGAAGATGATTAGTAGGATGAAGGTGATGATGTTAACAATGATGATGGATGAGGATCAATGCCATGGCCAGGATTTTCAAAGGGTGTGGGACAATATCAGAGCGGACCCACTTTACGTGTAAATTCAAACAATGTGGACCCATTTTACGCAAAAATATGAAATATCTGGACCCATTTTCTTAAATTTTACCCATATTTAACAAAATATAAGGTATCTGGATCCATTTTATGCAAAAAATTACATAATTTGGACCCTTTTTTTAAATGTGGACCAGTTTTTGTGGACCATTGGAAAAATGGTGTGGGACTGTCCCAACTGTGCCAATAGCTGGCTATGCCATTGATGATGATGAGGATAATGGATGAGGATGAATACGATGATGATGATGAAAAAAATGATGAAGAATGAGGAGGATGAAGATTATGAGGATGATGATAACGACGATAGATGATTGATAAGGACGTGATGAGGACGATGACGATGGATGAGTATGATGTGATGATGATGGTGATGATTACAACGATCGATGATAGTAAGGATGATTATAATGATTAGACAACAATGATGATGACGATGACGAATAGGATGAGGATGATGATGATTGATGATGATAATACTGTAATGATATCAATAGTGGTAATAAAAATATTATAATATTATTATATAACAGTAGTAACAATGTAATTCATTCTAATATTAAAATATAATTTTGAAATAACAGAAATACAATACAGTAATATACACATAATATTATTAATGATTTCAACAATAATAAATAAGCATAATACTACTATTAAAATAATAATATGTA